AAAAAAGTGAGACATAAATATAAAGCTTCCCTAGAGCGAAAGCGCCACAGCCGCTCGGTTGGGGGTGGGTGGGGGGGGAATAATACTGCTGCGATGGTACAGTACACACACACACACACACACACACACACACTTAAAACTGAACACAACATAGGAGACAAAAATAATACTGATGGGTAAAAACGTAGTCGGATTTAACTTAAGGGATTCCGCTCGGCCCACGTTTTTGTTACCTGAAGAGACATCTGAGCGTTTCATAGTTTGTTAAAAACAAGTGCACTGAACTAGCTTGGAACAAGGCAGGACACACATGACAGCTACGAATCATACTTCACCACCGTTCATTGGAGACAAAAAAAAAAAAAAAAAAAAAAAGAAACATGTGCATTGAAATTCAAAGGAAGGAGAAAAACCTTTTTCTCTTAAATCTCTTAAATCGTACATGAAGGTGTGGTCGTCTGAATTCTGCTCACTCTCTCAGGGGCCTCGGTGTGGGAGGGTGGGGGCGGGGTCACGCCTGCTACGTGGCTGCAAGATTCTGTGGCACTTTGATATGCACGTTCCCTCACCATCTACTTTGTTCTTTGCATATCCGTGTGTGTGTGTGTGTGTAAGTGTGTATAGAAAAAGTCACAATGTTTCCTTCATCTCCGTTCCACTCGCTCTGAACACTTTATGTAACAGTTTGACATTTTGGGGTTTTTTTTCTTGACACTGTGAGAAGACAGACACCATCTTCATACCTGCACAGAAAACCAAACGCTTACTGTACGCCACGCCTGAATGTTACCAGCAGGGGGATCAGTGTGTCTTAAAGAATTTGCTCCAATTCATCTTAAAATGTTATTATGGCCAAGGGTAATTAACCTTGATGATAGCTTGTTGGAAACAAATGTTCACTGCCCTTTTCCATCAATAGAGGAAAGGGCAGTGAAGGCAGCAGGTGGTTCAAAATCTGGGTCGGTAACAGACTTGATTGTTCATTTCTGTCTGACCGGCTCACAGACGTCTCACCTACACCCACTGGACCAAAGGGTGTATAGTTTCAAAAACTGAAGACCGTTAACAGGAGGAGTTACGTGAAATTAAACCTTTTCTCGTTTCATTTGAAACGTCGGCAAACATTTTCCTGAGGATTCCACGGTCCTAATCACTAGTTTTAGGGTCTTTTTTGGGGACAGCGATGGTCCCATTTAGAGTCAAACAGACAATAAAGCAGGCCAAGCTTTTAGGGCGTGGTCATAGCATGATTGACAGCACTTATGGTAAACGGTCTTTGCCCGTATGATTTTGACCTGCAGGCATGAGAACAGCATCTGTTTTCACCCATGTCTCACACATAGGACATTGGACAAATGCTTAGTGGACATTTCTGTCAACCCCTGAATTGTAAAGCACTCCGATGGTAAGGTGTCCCAACATGTAAGACGAAGTGAAATGGAGGGACGTACTCCTTTTATTCTTAAGGCTCAAGATCCCCGTGGACACACAAAAAAATAATACTAACAACTGCTGTTGTTGACGACATGGTAAAACTAGTGCAGTAATACTGAAGGGTAGACAACACAACTCAACTGCTCAATCCATAGGTAAACCAAGCCACGTGTAGTGCACATGATTTTTTTTTCTTATTTTCCTTCCAACTTAATAAAATACTGACTTTCTTGTTCATTGGCAATAAAAACGTATAGAAATATCTCCCAACTGTACAGCTTTCAAAGGTTAAAATATGAGTGATAAAATTAGTAACACTGATAAAAAGAAATGACCCAAAGGTGTTTTAGTAATAAAACATTATTTTAAACATTTCGGCTCTAGCTTCCAAAGTCTGTATAATGCATTTTCTTTGTTAAACTTCGTCGCCATCTTTTTTTTTTCCTTTTTTTCTTTACAAATGGATTTCATTTTGCAAACAGGGAGAAACTGTTCTCCTGTGGAAAAGTCACGAGTAAATTTTTTTTTTTCAGGCACACCTGGATTTTTTTTACACAGTAGTGAACTGAAACAAACTGTCAGAGTGACCAATAGTTGTCTCCTGCGTTCTGCCTCTGCACCAGGAGAGGAAGAATCTGATTGGGTTTCAAGAAGGAGTCTGGTTTCTCTTTCAGTCAGTCTCTCCTTTCTTCTGCAGCATCTGGACCTCGTCTTCAGGAACCGTGTTCCTGTTTGTTTCACCTCCGCTCTCCTCCGTGACCTCCCCGTGTGCCTTTCCCTCATCCGTCACCCCTGCCTCTGAATCAATCATCCCCTCTTCCTCCATCTCGACTTCATTCTCTTCCTGACCCTTCTTGAGCACCTCCTCCTGCCTTGTGTCAGCCTCCTCTTCCGCCTGTTTCATTTTCACCTCCATTTTCTCCTCCTCCTCGTCCCGCTCTTCAGCCTCTACTCTATCACCATCCTCCTCCTCATTTTTGTCTTCTGGCTCCACCTCCTCATCCCCTATCTGCACCACCTGGATGTCATCCATGTCCACTGCTCCTTCCTCCTCATCCTCCTCCTCTTCCTCGCTCTCCTCATCCTCCCTTGTGCTGCTTCCTTGCTCGTCCAAATCCAGCCGGGAGGGAACCATGCGTTCTATCTGCACCTGGCTCAGGTCGGCCTGGACCTCGCCGTACGCCTCGGGACTCTCTGCGCCTCCCTGGTTCTGCGTCTCCTTTTTGCAGTAGGAGTAACGGTGGTTCATGTGTTGGGAGTAGGAGCCCGAGTGCGAGAAGCGCTTGCCGCACTTGTCACACTGGTACGGTTTCTCCCCTGAATGCAGCCGCATGTGTTCGATCAAGTGGTGTTTGTGTTTAAAGGCCTTGCTGCAGATGCTGCACTCGTGAGGTCGCTTCCCTGCAGGCGGAGACAAAACAAACACAGTCAGCGCGTTCTTGGGACATTTAAATACAGTGTAGTTAAAAGGCACAGGCGCGAACGGAAAACAATAAACGCTCCATAGCAATCCTGACGTACGCGGGATACCAAGGCTTGAGAAAGGCCATAATACTGTCGATCTGCGACGTATCCAAGGAGAAGAACTCCAAACAATAAAACCACATCACAACAATTATGTTGAAAAACCTTCAAGGAAACGTTATCCAGGCAGTAAGCTGAAAAGTTTGGACCTGGAGTGAGCTCATTTGGAGCTGAGAGCGGAGGATTTCAGCCAGGTATCAGAACAATGGAGAAAATAGCTGAAACACCTCTGAGAGTGCTGACCTGAGCTTGGCTGCAGAATCATCATTTTAGAGTGATCCAAATCACTACCAGAGCTCGCCTTTTGCAATACTTCACATGAGACGCTGGCAGCACTGAGGTGGGGAAGTGATGGAAAAAAAGTTTCAGAGCTTTTCTTAACTTGTTGAGAAATATCTGCTTGAGTAAAAAAAAAAAAAAAAGTCCACTCCTCTACGCTCTAGCATGAAATCCCCCTTTACTCACCCTCTGACTCATCTTACCCAGGATCCAAAAGTAAATGATGGTAAGACATTTTTCTGGTTTCGTGTGTGTGTTCTCTTTTTGTTTCCCGTGTGACCACAGGGTGTGTGTGTGTGCCGTCTGCATCGGCCGTACCTGTGTGTTCATATTTGTGTCTTAGCAGCGAGCTGCTCTTCTGGAAGATCTTGTCGCACAGGTCACAGGCGTACATGCCGCCGTCCGTCTTCTTCATCTTCTTTCTCGCGGGACCTGAGTCGGAGTCATTCTGCTCCTCAACAGTGGACAATCCCTCGGAGCCCGTGTCTGGTTTCTCCTCCTGGAGAATATTACAAATCGGGTTTAACAATCACATGTCAGGAATTTCAAGGGAAGTTTGTTTTACAGCAGAAAAGAAAATGACTCAAAAAATAAATAAAAAAACCAGAACCGTGAGTATGAGCTTTGGAGGAAGTGAAGGGTGTGTCATACACTACTCATCGCTCTCTCTGGACACATAACCAACTCCTCTTTGACTGAACTGTGCAGTTGCGCAGGTTGTACCTGACACTATGATACCCGTGGAAAGCAGCGTGAGCCATTAGGAATCAAGAGAATGAACATACACAGTACTCAGGCCTTCCTTTACAAGGCAGCTCTATGCCAATCCACTTAACATGAAGGTATAATACAACAACAATAAATCAATGGGGCAGGCGGAGGTGTGGCATTTAAACTGATTCCAGCAGATCAATAATAGGAGCTCTGCAGTGAAGTGCAGCCTCACGTCCTCTGGGCAACAGCCCAGAAGGATCACTCACACCGGCCAGTGAGATCCACATCCATCTTTAGGGGCCCATTAGGTGTCTGCACTATAAAGAACTATTAAGGGCTATTATTTTTACAAAGAGCTGAATTCTGACATTTCTCTATATGAGTTATTGATTAGGGTTTGGACGCTGCACACTATTTATAATGCTGAAGTGCTTTTAAACAACGAGGAGTAATAATCCGGACTGAGGAGTTTGATCCCGCTCCACTTGCTCTTCCAAATAGCTGAGAGTGAGCGCATATGGTTCAATCCAAAGGTAACAAACGCCGGCCAAGAGGCGTGCAATTTATTAATAAAGGAAAAAAAAAAGTCTTTATGTCTCTTTAT